GTTTCGTTGGAGATGTTCGTATAAAGACTAAAACTGGTGAGTCAGTACGGTGCTTAAGTTTCCTCTATCTATGATTAACTGCAGCATATATAAGTCCATTTAGTCGGAGTATTTGCAGCAGGAGTTGACTAGGTTTACTGTTTAGACACATAGTTTTCAAATGGTACTTTTCGTTCCTTGCAATAATGGGGAATTGCACTGGCTTATATCGATAATCCTTTTGCTTTTTGTAAGAAAAAGCACATTTTAGGTGAAACATATATAGCAGCTTCACAACGTGCTGATGGAACGTGGAGAAAGGCAAGAAGAGTAAAGGACGGTTACATCCCACAAGAAGAACAACCTAGATACGAATCACGCGGTCAGCAAATGAGCACCAAAACTACATACCCCGTTGGTTGGTCGCCCACTGAAGTTGTAATCTCTAAAAAGGTCACTTTTTTATCCCATGGTAAGAAGTGTGAATTCGAAATTTATCTATGGATGGTAACTGTCAGAACAAATTAGATTGGTTGGGATCTTGGAAGTGAAAATTTCTTAAGAGTCTTGATTTTAGAAAAACTCAAAAAACAGAAGTGAGTGTGGTGACTTTTCATTCCAACTATGTAAAATACTTGAAAATCTGTTTTTAGTAATACATAAAATAGAAATACTTTTTGTACACACTGTTATGTTACACATGGATTTAATCCCGCGCATTGATCAGCTCATAGAGCAAAAGAAACCTTTATTTAATGCATGAGTTGAATTTCATGTGAGCATATCATTGTTCACTTTCCAACAAAGTTAATTAGTAGTAATTCAGAGCAAGTGGTGAAACCCTAAATATTGTCTAGAATAAATTATAATTACCAAAAGTAAACGTTGTCAAATTTAGTTTTTTATGAAAGTTTTCAGGAAATTGGAAAGCAGGAATTGAAAAAACCGATTGCTGCAGCGCTGAAGCCAAATGCTCCGATTACTCCTCGTGAATGTATTGAAAAAAAGATTAACAATTTGAACAGGAAGCTGCGAGATATAGAAATGCTAGAGGTGAATTCAGCATTTCGTTCTTTTCATTAATCTCTTTAATAGAATTACCTCTCTGGAACCAACCACTCTTTCGATTAATTTCGAAATTTTTTGTGCTGCACCACTTCAGGTGACACTTTGTTGTGTGTCTCATTCGGTTTTCGCATTTTGTATCTTCGTACTCATCTCGTTACATAAAAATCAGTAAGAATCACTGCAGCAAAGAATCAGAAGTGGAGAACTGGAAAATCCAGAGAAAACGCAACTTGAAAAAATCGCTCGAAGAGAAGCTATTACGAAGGAAATTGATCAGTTGACTGCCGAAATCGAGAAATTATGATTGCTTTTCTGAAAATTATTTCTTTCTGTATATAGCACACTTCTTTGATAAATCATACGCAGCAAAGAAAATGACATCTACAACAGACATTGCTAAAATGTTTTAGATGAAGAGGATTCAAGACTCCAAAGATACTCCATATCCCAGGAGTACAGATCGTAGAAGTAATTTATCCACAAAATGCATTGTTTTTTTTTTGAAAAATTTCCTTATTGGTATCTAACTGCTATTCTGTTGTTAAAAAAGCAGGAATTAAACGAGGTTCGAGATTAAAAATGAAGTGTTTGTCTCCCTCATTGTAGTCTGAGCATGTTACTTATAAATATATTTTATGAACATTTAAATTATATATAATGCTATCAGTCTTAGGATAGTATACCACCGAGCCAGATTTATTGGAGAATGTGTCCCAACATAAAGCAGCAAAGTCCAACAACGGAAAATGTTGCAGTTTCTTCAACATATATATATATATATATATATATATATATATATCTACAATATATATATATATATATATATATT